CACACACACACACACACTTTTACTATAAAACATTAGTTCAGGCGGCGCAGTTTCTCTTTCTTCGTGAACGAATCCATTCCACTTGATTAATAGGAGAATACTCAATCTAATAAAACTCCACTCCAGGTTTTCCTGGTTACCTTCAACTCTACACAGAGCAGAAACTGTGCAGGCAGCCGCTGCTGAGTCTCCTGCTTTGGTAGAAAACGCGCACAGGTGCAGGAGATGGAGACACTTCTGTGTTGCTCACTCACCAGTTTAGCAGCTTAGTGTGGACAGTTGCTGACCAGGGGGGTTGATCATCAACATATATTCATGTTAGGAGGATGCTTGAGTGCAGCGCTACGTCTATAGCATGTTCTCTTAGCAGTAACTGTAACGCTGTAAGACGCTGCAGATGTAAGATGCTGTGTGTTCAGGTGCATTAAAATTGAAATGTCTTTAAAACCCCACACCTTATTGTCCTCAAGCTTCACGAGAAACATCTTTTAGATGAGTAGTGTTGAACACAAGTAAAAAAGTCTAGTGGTGATGTTTTTTATTTCTCTATAAACACAAATAGTGCAGATCTGACGCTCTGTATTTAAGTTAAAATGTCTCTAAAACCCACAGCTGAATTTACACAAACTTGGTGAGAAATATGCTTTAAATGTGTGGAAGTAAAGCAAATCTAGGTGAAATGTTGCTTTTTTTTTGTACATTAGTGCACATTCCTTTTGCGCACACGCACGCGGGCACACACGCGCGCGCACACACCTACACACATCGTTGTGTCCCCCCCACATGACAGATGCTTCTGACGCCCTTGCGTCACAAGCACCAAAACCTGGTTTGATGCCCATGCCACAGTGCTTGACTGGCCAGCCAACTCTTTGGACCTAAACCCCATTGAGAATCTATGGAGTATTCTCAAGAGGAAAATGAGGGGCACCAGACCCAACAACAAAGAAGAGCTGACAGCAAGCATCAAGGAAATCTGGGCTTCCATAACTCCCAGGCAATGCCACAGTCTGATTGCCTCAATGTCACATCGCATCGAGGCAGTGATTAAGACAAAGGGATTCCCAACCAAGTATTGAAGATTGACATATCGTTTTAAAAGTTCCATATTTGATTGATTTGTTGTGATCCTAACTTATTTCTTTTTTTTTCCTGCAAAAACTGAGTAGTGTGGACTGATGTCTTCACAGGATTCTAATTTTTTGAAATCCTGTTTTCATGAGTTTCATGAGCTGGAAGATCCATTTTCCCTTGGCACAAAACAACACATTCCAGCAACTTACACATGGCCTTAATGATGTTAAAGCATGGTTTTCTCTTACCTTCCTTAGTTGAAATGAGAACAACACTGAAGTTATGATGTTTGGACCGAGTTGCTGTCCCTCTCCCAACGTAGATCTTGGCTCAGTGTCATTTTATCTCAGGGACTGTGTGGGGGTGAAGTTTGAGTCAGATTTTAAATTTGAAAAACAGATAAACAGATCAGCAGTGTTGTTCGGAAAAGTTTTTATCAACATCGCCAAATAGCAAAAGTGAAACCAATCTTAGCAAGTCCTGACTTGAAAAAATCAATCTACGCTTTTATCACAGTTCATCTTGACTACTGGAATGCACTGTGTAGGCATTAGCCAGACCTGTCTTGCCCGTCTACAGTTTGTGCAGAACTCTGCTGCTCGCCTGTTAACTCAGGTCTGTAGGAGCGAGCATATCACTCCCATCCAGGCGTTCCTTCCATGGCTCCCTGTGCACTACCAAATTCATTTTAAGCTTTTGCTATTTGTTTTTAAATGCCTGAACAACCTTGCCCCACCATATCTGTCTGAGCTGCTTCAGCCTTACTGCCCACCCCAATCCTCAAGATCAGCAGATCGGTTGCTGCTGACAGTTCTTAAAACTAGGCTGAAGCTCAGAGGTGACAGAGCTGAGTGAAGCTGACACCCCACCCACTTCCAAAATTAAAGCAACT